TGATAAATTGCCCGATGTACGGTGCTGGTCCCCTGGTATTTTGGTATTCAGTCCTGAGCTATGTAATCTGCTCCCTGCACTGGTCATTGGTCAGCTAAATTTCCAATGCTGCCTGCTTCTTTGCTGTTTGCTGGTAGGCATGGTCATTCCAATCCTTTTATTAAATCCACTGTTTTGCTCCAGGATTAACCAAAATCTGGCTCCTGCAACTATTAATGTTGATTTTTAATACATATTGGAACATGGGGGAGATCCAGAAGACTGGGAAAAAGTTTCGATGATAAGGATAATGGTACTGAAGTAATATACTTACACTTCTGTAGATCAACATTTTGATTACAAAACTATAACTTCAACATGACACATATTCAATGGATTAAAAGCTGGTAACTGAAACATTTCAAAATGTAATTGTAAATGGGGAATCATCATCGAGCAGTTGTGTTTCTAGTGGAGTCGAACAAGCATTGTTTTTGGCCCTACGCTATTTAACCTTTTTATCAATGACCTGGATGAAAACATAAAATCAACTGATAAAGTTTGAAAATGACACAAAAATTGGGGAAGTGGGAAATAATGAAGAGGACAGGTCATTGATACAGAGTGGATCACACTGGATGAGTTTTAATGCAGCTAAATGTAAATGTATGCATCTAGGAACAAACAATGTAGCCATAATTACAGGAAGGGGGACTCTATTCTAGGAAGCAGTGACTCTGGAAAAGGTGGATAATCAGCTGAACATGAGATCCCAGTGCAAAATTGTGGCTAAAAAGGCTAATGTAATCCTGGGATGCATAAACAGGGAAATCTCCAGTAAGAGTAGAGAGGTTATTTTATCTTGAATTTGGCACTGGTGTGACCCGTACTGGAATACCGTGTCCAGTTCTAATGTCCACAATTCAAGAAGGATGTTGATAAGTTGGAGATGATTCAGAGAGCCATGAGAATGATTAAAGGATTAGACAACATGCCCTATAGTAATAGATTCAGGGAGCTCAATCTATTTATCTTAACAAAAGAGAAGGTTAAGGGGTGACTTGATTACAGTCTATAAGTATCTCCATGAGGAACAAATATTTAATAATGGGCTCTTCAATATATCAGAGAAAGTTATAACATAATCCAATGCCTGGAAGTTGAAGCTAGACAAATTCAGACTGGAAATAAGGTATACATTTTTAACAATGAGAGGAATTAATCTTTGGAACAATTTACCAACTGTTGTTGTGTATTCTCCATCACTGACAATTTTTAAATCAAGATTGGATGTTTTTCTAAAAGATATACTCTAGGAATTATTTTGGGGAAGTGCTATGAACTGTATTATATGGAGGTCAGACTAGATTATCAAAATGGTCCTTTCTGACCATGAAATCATTCATGACCTTCATTCCTTTCCTTTGAACAGGACTCACAAGGGGCTAAAAGCCCCTTGCACCATCTCCTCATTCCACTGTGTCTGTTCCCCAACTCACCCCACTACCTTCACATTAGGTCCAGGGATGTTCTGTCTTTGTGTGTGTGTAACCTGAACTGTGTGTAACATAGTGATTTGACTAGAGAGTCTGTGTGGTCAAAAATAACACATGTGGGAGTTGTGTGTTCAAATCCAGTTCTCCCAATGACTCACTGTGTTGCCTTGAGCAAGTTGTGTAACCTCTCTACCTTGTTTTCCCATTTCCAAATTAGGGAGATATCACAAGAGTGTTGTGAGAATTAATGTTTAGAAGGTGTTGTAATTATGTGTATGCACTTCCCTGAAGTTATCTATTCCCCTAACTAGCTGAGCTAGTGAGACCTACTCCTTTAGCACCTACAATACAAACCTGTGAGTTCTGAGCAATGATTTCTTCCCTTCGTATTGCTAGTATGCTGTTAGTAGAAAACTAGCAACATCAGTGTATACCTTTTGCCACCAATTCTTGCCTATTTTTCCTCCCACTGCTTTGCATTTATAAGAGTGCAAAGTTAATGTAAAATAGCACCAGGCTGATTTGGAAGCCATTCACAAACATTTTGGATGGATGCAAATGACAATACAGTAACTCCTCACTTAACGTTGTAGTTATGTTCCTGAAAAATGCAACTTTAAGTGAAACAATGTTAAATGAATCCAATTTTCCCATAAGATTTAATGTAAATGTGGGGGGTTAGGTTCCAAGGAAATTTTTATGGGGCAGACAAAAGGCATTATATACTGTACAGTACTGTACTGTACTGTGGTGGGAAGGTGCCCCTGGCTTACCCCTGGGGCTCAGGGTGGGGTGCAGGGTCTGGGAGGGAGTTAAGGTGTGGGAGGGCGCTCAGGGTGGGGTGCAGGGTCTGGGAGGGAGTTAAGGTGCGGGAGGGCGCTCAGGGTGGGGGTGCGGGAGGAGGCTCAGGGCTGGGGCAGGCAGGAGGTGCAGAGCACTTACCTGGGGCAGCTCCTGTTTGGTGCAGGGGGTGTGCAGGTGGCGCTGTGCAGCGCGGCACTGCCCCCATGGCCGCAATTCTGGGAGCTGCGATTCTGGGAGCCACCCCCGGAGGCATGGCCACCTGGAACACAGGTGCTTTAGGGGCTGCAGGGCCCTGGGCTAAGGGGGCCCCAGGGCCCTGGCCTGCAGCTCTAAAGCCCCTTTCGGAATGCAGCCCTGTGAGCACGGGCTGGAGGACTCAGGAGGAGCAGGGGCAGCCGCGCAGCCAGTGGCCGGAGAGAAGTGGCACTTTCCCCTTCAAAGCCAGCTGGAGACAAGCGGCTGCCCCTCCTCCTCCTGAAGGGGAAAGCGGCCGTTTCTCTCCGGCCACTGGCTGCGCGGCTGCCCCAGCTCCTCCTGAGTCCTCCGCCCCATGCTCGCAGGGCCGCATTCCGAAAGGGGCTTTAGAGCTGCAGGGCCCCGGGGTCCCCTTAGCCCAGGGTCCTGCAGCCCCTAAAGCCCCTGCGTTCCAGGTGGCCCTGCCTGCCGGGGGGAGGGGCAGCTTCCCCGCTTGCTCGCTCCCTTCCAGAAAGTCCTAAGCGCCGGGAGGGAGGGAGGAAGTAGGGTGACCAGATGTCCCGATTTTATAGGGACAGTCCCGATTTTTGGGTCTTTTTCTTACATAGGCTCCTATTACCCCCCACCCCCGTCCAGATTTTTCACATTTGCTGTCTGGTAACCCTAGGAGGAAGGGAGGGGGAGGAGGTGGAGAAGAGGAACTTGTGCAGTGCTCCCTTGTAAAGTCAGCCAAACGACGTTATAAGAGAACATTGCACAACTTTAAACGAGTATGTGCCCTAATGGAGCAGCAACATAACTTTGAAACAATGTTAAGCGGGAGGACAGTAAGTGAGGAGTTACTGTACAAGATGCAACATAATCCGGAGAATCAGGTCCTATATAAATGTATCAGCATTCCCTTAGGAAACTGCATGTTACATCTCCTGAGATTATGTTAATGAGCAAAATTTTAAATAAGTACAGGGCCTTTGGGGGTGTCTTACAATCTAAAGTCCCTTAAATTCACACTTGTGGCATCCAAGAAATTAAGGCACATCAGAGGATTCTTTCTTACAAGTGTATAATTGAATGTAGAGATTCAATTTATTCTAAATAACGCAACAATAAGAGTATCCTTAAAGGCTCAAAAAGGAGGGGAAAACTTAGTTTAGGAGAGAACAGAAAAATTAGCAGCAGAGGTAAAGACAAGAACTCTTTTGATTAGCTCACAAATCCTGCACTCTCATAGCTAATCATTTGGTGCAGATTCCACTTGTCAGGTTGAAAAGGAAATAAAGTATAAAGAGAAATATTAAGGCTGTCAGGGGATTGTTTACAGCAAACAGTCTTGCATGCTCATCTGCACAAATGCAAGCTTTAGCACTTCATTTTGAATGAAACCAGTGCTGATGGTACAAACATCTTCATTTGCTCTGAAAGGCTGGAGAAGAAGAGAGAAGAGACAGTTCTAAATTACATCTCAGAAAAATTAATTCAAGTGATGTAAAAAAATTAAGACTTCATGTGATAATAGCTAGGAAATTTTAATGTAAAGCTAAAACTCCAAGTTTGTCCATGGCCTTAAGCTTATTGTATTGCAGCACATATAAAATATTTATCATTAACAGCTATTTTTTCCTTATAAATCTTTCATTGCATCATTATTGGTTAAAACAATGATACTATGTGTGTACTTTACAATATGTTCTCTTCTGTACATATCATCATGGTGGCATCATAGTCATAAAATACCACCATCTATGATAAACAATGCAATAGATTTTTTGTTGTTTGTTTCTTGGTTTGTTTGTTTTTTGCTAACCAATAGTGTACTTTTTGTCTTATATGAGGAGTAAAACTTCAGAGTGTAGATTCAGCCCTAAGAGATTATGTTTTTTTCAGTGTCTCAGAGCTTGTCTTCACTACCAGGGTAAGTCAACATAAGTTATTCTATTCCGGCTATGTGAATAATGTAACTGGAGTTGACGTAGCTTAGGTCAACTTTCCCCAGTGTCTTCACTGCGCTGCATTGACTGGAGACACTCTCCAGTCAACTTACCTTACTCTTCTCAGGGAGCTGAAGTACCAGAGTCGACTGGAGAGCGCTCTGCCGTCTTTTTAGCGTGTCTTCACTAGACCCACTAAATCGACACCCGCTGCATTGATTGCATCAGCGTCGATCTCCCCGGTAATGAAGACAAGCCCTCAGTGTAAACCAGATTAGAGCACCCCTAATAGCAGAAAGCCTGCCCAGAAGGAAATTTGGTTGGTATTAAGTTCAAGGTCTCAGTTCTTATCTTTAAGGTGCTCAATGATCTGGGCTCAGCATATCTAAAAAAAATCTAATCTCTGGTGGAGAAGACCATGGCTGAAAACTCCATTCCAAAGGCACAATGGAACTTTCTATCATAAGGCTATGTGCAGAGACAGAGCTTTCTTGGGGTTGGTCCAAGACACTGGAATGAACTCCCAGAGGAAATGGGGATCATCACCAACTTCACCTTCTGCTACAAATACAGTGTGCACTTTTTCTACCTTGCCTTCTCTAACACAAACATATAGCAGTGTGTATACAAAAACAAAATAAAAACCCTACCGAAACAAAACACTCCACAGTACGCACAATTCCACCACTGCGGAAAGGATGAACCACATGTGAGTGATGTTAATCGTGTTGGCCCTCAGATACTACAGTGAGAAGGGCAGAATATGAACATGTACAGAATATAATAGCAGTGAAAAATAATCTCTCCCTTTTCTAAGCAGCCTGCAGCCAGCTAATATGGCCCCCAAAAGTGGACAGTACTGGCCAGAGAAAAGGCATGACCAAAGCATCTAGGAAATGCATTGATTCAGCACATATCCTGGTATCCTCCACAGGAAAGATTCCTACTTAAGCACTACTTACATCTGCACTTCTATAAAACAGGGTGTTGGTACAAACATCTCTTATGCTCTCAGGGCTATGATTCCACCCATGGGGCAAAGTGGGCATAGACCTTAGCTTTCCTGAATTATGGGAAGAAGCCACCAACTTCTTGTGTGGATTATAATGTATGCGGTTAAGTAAAGTGTGGACCAGTTTAGCTGTACTAGGAAATAATTGTAGTAACTGGGAGAAATTAGCTGACAAATATTGACTTTGTGTAATCACAGTCTGAGTTCTTATTGGCTAGAATGTGTCATTAATTTGCTTTTTATTCACAGATTGAAAGGAGGAATCTGTATTCTCATTTGTTGGATATCCGTATGGATTAATTTAAACAATCTTAAAGTAAACTATAAGAATTCAGAACCTAGGGGTTGGTGAACCTCATAGAGTTTGTGGGTTTGAGATCTTCATGAAGTTTTTGTGAACCCTGCAAACTCCAAAAGCTACCTTAAGTTGACACCTCATTGCCAGTAAATTATTTGTTTTTTTCCAGCGTGATTCAACTTTTTTAAAAAATGCTTTCTTGAGTCAATGGGAAGCATATGCTATAAATGAATAGAATACCAACTCATAAAAACTGGGGAGTACTGTACATGATCTATGGGCCGAATGTCTTTTTTATAGTAGAATTTCCTGTCCCCTTTTGTGCTCTTTCTTTTCACTGTTTGTATTATTTTTTCTTCTCATTGTGCCTGTTTCTGTTCCCATTGTGTCTTTTGCTCTTAACACAACAAATGTAATGTGAAAGAACCACATGGGCACAGTGGGGTCTAAATAACAAGTGTTTACTAATTATACACAACATTAAAGGCCAACCAACATCTCTCAGCTACTTTTTCACTATTTCTCCTTAGCACACCTTTAACCTACTAAGGCCCCTTTCCTGAAAACACTTTCAAATGTAAGTTACTTTATTCATGTGAGTCATCCCATAGAGCCTCAGGTCAATTGTTGACATACAAGGATTCAGCAAACATTATTTATCTGGTCCCTTTGAACTCAATGGGTACGTCCAGACTACCCGCCGTATCAGCGGGTAGCGATCGATTTATCAGGGATCAATATATCACGTCTCATTAAGACGTGATATATCGATCCCCGAACGCGCTCCCCGTCGACTCCGGAACTCCACCGGAGCGAGCGGCGGTAGCAGAGTCGACGGGGGAGCCGCGGCCGTCGATCCCGCACCGTGAGGACGGGAGGTAAGTCGGAATAAGATATGTCGACTTCAGCTACGGTATTCCCGTAGCTGATGTTGCATATCTTACATCAACACCCCCCCCCCCCAAGTTTAGAACAGGCCAATGAGACTGCCCCTAAAGCTATTCATGTGTATGTTTACTGGATTGGAGTCCCTGAGTTGGGTCAAACTTTTTAAACTTGCAGTGTTCAAATGGGTTCAGAGTCAGGCAAAATGAATTTCCCTAGCCCTGTCCAGAACATTGGCCCAGATCCTTGTATAACCTGTGCACTCTGTCCCCCTCTAGTGATAACTAGAGATTGTTGAATCTGCTACAGCCTTAGCTAAGTGAGATGTGTCTTTTAGCTCATGCTGTAGAGGCTCATGCATTAAGCTCTGGAGTTCTTAGGGTTGATTCTGGCCAACAATGACCGGCATTACATTTACCCTCCTTGAGTCTGTTTGCACTACTTCCCTAATCTAAGAGGCATATAGCCAGTGTAAATGGCCCCTTGGGACTATTGTAGGCAGAAGTCCTATACAGCTGCCCCAGGGCAGATTAACTTAGGCTGTGGGCCAAACCAGCTCCCAGCTCCCAGGTTCAGGGAAACACAAAAACGGCATCAAGTCACTAATGCTCTTTCTGCTGCTTTGGGTGCTGCACTGTTCAGAGTTTGGCTGGACCTGAAGATTGTCTGCATTATGAAAGTTAAGGTAAGGATAATGAAATCTCTTGTTTCAGGGTGTAAACTGCTTGCAGAGGTAGGTATTCAGGAATTACTTTTATCTCTGTAATGCATTTCACAATGAGCTAGATGTACTAATACAGGCAGGAGGAATAACCTTCCATATAACTGGTCATTGCTAGAGAAGCAGAATGCTAGATTAGCTGGATCAGTGGTCTGACAAGACAGGTCCAATGTACCCATTATCATGGCTCTGTTTCCTTTTTTTCTTATCAGTTTTTGTCTTAAAGCAGACAAAGGGGCTCAGATAATGTGTCAAAATGTAATACATTTGTTTTTGTTTTGTTGCCGCCATCTCTAACTTATTTGTATTTCTAAAGAGGATCATGAATAGTTTTGATAGCCCCCTGGTGACTATCTTGACAAGAACTTTTGTCCTTAATTAGGTTCTGCTTAAAGATAATAAATATTCCCTTACAGACTTTTCACTCAATTATATGTTACCCCAAAGTATATGTAAATTTAGAATAAAATCCAAGCAATTTGCTTTAACCCAGCATGATAAATAATAACCAGAGGTTTCATCAGAGATCAAACACTAGCTGCTGAGCGTGGAAATGAAACTAATTACAATTTTGATGTTTTTGAGAAGAAGAAAACTGCAGTCTCTCTCTCATAAAGTCTCTCTCATAGGGACTGGTTTTAATCAGATCTTTTTGACTTCTGAGCATCTACCTTCACATGTCCTGAAGATCTTCTACACAGCTCAAGGAGTTCATGCCATGCACAGCAGTTGCCTTCTTAGGATGCTGAAAATATAAGGGTACTTACTGGTATGTGGCAAGGATTATGGAAGAATTCAGAATTCAATATGGCCATAGGGACTTCGTTTTCTTTTATGTATACATTTTAGACCTTTCTGATGAGTGAAAAGATCCACCTTTAGAATTTGCATTGTGCATTATTCTGAAACATGGTTAGACAAAATACAAATGGACATCTTTTTACTTCATTCTATAGCTTCCTCTGCTAAATTGCAACAAATAATCATGTAGTATCAAGGACAGTTTACTCCCAGTGAATGCAGAAGTATAACAATGGCAGCAATGTTGATACAGGACATCACCAAGGAGTGTGAATTTCACCTTCATTTCGACATGAGCGACACTCACACATACATTTTTCAATTCAATTTGAAATATTCCACCGACATGACAAACTAAATAATTGTTGCCAATTTTTTAAAAAAGAGACTTTTTTTCTAGCTTCATTATTTCATCTCATCCCAATCTTCAAATACTGAATCCATTTCATTTCACTGGGACCTTGTTTAATTGCCTTTTGGATGTAGTTGATTTAGTTGGAGATTGGTCCTGCTTTGAGCAGGGGGTTGGACTAGATGACCTCCTGAGGTCCCTTCCAACCCTGATATTCTATGATTCTATGATTCATTCTTTGTTCAAATTTACTTAATGTTACGCCTTACTGAGCAAATGTGTAAAAAGATTATGGTTATGAACACACAAATGTTGGTGTGATTGTATGCTGAAGGGAGACTAGGGAGAACACTTGGCTAATGAAAAAGCAAGGAGTTACCTTCACATCATATAACCTATATGAATATTGTCCAAGGTCATATTAGAATTATTTTCAGATGGACATTTCTGTTGGAAAAGTGATCAGACTACAGGAACTACTACCAACAACCTTTTGCAGTGGCATATTTTGTTGATGTCTGAATTTTGCTCTTTGTTCCCCCATGCAAAGACATTCCACTTGTAACGTGATTCATTTTTCTACGTGAAGTATTGTATTTTCATATAACTTAGCAGTGAAAGCATCACCTGGATCTTGTTACGTTATTGAGTTATTGCTGACAACATGCTTAGTACTATACAATGCATAGAAATGAAACCATTCCTTGGCTCAATACTGCCACCCTTCCTGTGTGTACTACCTTACCGCACAAGTCGTCTCAGTGATTTCAATGGAGCTACTTTCAGAATAAGGTACTAATCAATATTAGGGTTGCCAACTGTATAATCACACAAACCCAAACACCATTGCCCCACTCCCTGCCCCTCCCCTTCCCCAAGGCCTGCCCCTACCCCGCCCCTTCTCTGAGGCCCCACCCCCTGCTCACTCCAGCCCCCCTCACTTGCTCTCTCCCATCCTCACTCACTTTCACCGGGCTGGGGCAGTGGGTTGGGGTGCAGGCTCTGGTCTTGGGGGGGGTGGGGCTGAGGGGTTTGGAGTGTGGAAGGGTCTCTGTCCTGAGCCTTGGACAGGGGGTTGGGTGTAGGAGGGGGTGCAGGCTCTGGGAGGGAGTTTGGGTGAGGGAGGGGGCTCAGGGCTGGGGTAGGGGTGCAGGAAGGGGTGCAGGCTCTGGGATGAGGGGTTCGCAGTGTGGGAGGAGGCTCTGGGCTGAGCCTGGGGCAGAGGGTTGGGGTGCAAGAGGGGGCTCAGGGCTGGGGTAGGAGGTTGGGTGCAGGGGGGTGGGCTCTGGGAGGGCGTTTTGGTGTGGGAGGGTGTGCGGGGCACAGGCTCTGGAAGGGAGTTTGGGTGGGGGGTGCTGGTTCTGGGGGTTGGGGTGCGGTAGGGCGTGAGGGGGGCAGCGTTTACCTCAGGCGGCTCCCGAAAGTGACCAGCACATCCCTCTAGCAGCAGCTCCTAGGCAGAGCCCCAGGGGTCTCCCAGCAAAGGTAGCGGCGGAGTCAGCGCTCGAGGTGGGGGCAACACGCAGAGACCCCCTCGCCCCAACCCCAGGGGCTGCAGGTACGTGCTGGCTGCTTCTGGGAGTGGCGCGGGGCCAGGGCAGGCAGGGAGCCTGCCTTAGCCCCGCTGCACTGCCAGACTTTTAGCACCTAAAATCTTCCAGTTTGGCATCAGTAGCTTCCAGGAAACAGGGCCTGATTCCAGGAGACTCCTAGCAAATCCGGAGTGTTGGCAACTCAAATCAATATGAGAAAGAGGGCCCCATGATAATATTTGGATGTTGTTGATGACCTCATATTAACATTGCCTAGCACTTACCATTCCTGTTTTCAGTTGTTTATATACTTCTATGACAAAGTCAGACCAGACAGCTACCAGAGAGCAATGGAAGGCAGGGAGATTAGCCCTAGAATGGTAAAGGTCCTTTTCTCCAGGAGCTGAAAAGCGGTTACCTCAGGCCAAGTAGGGACACCTCAGTCCAATTAAGGGCTGCCTGTGACCTTCCAAAAAAGACCTCTTCTGATGAGAGACAGGGAGGACAGATGTAGAAGGGTGTATAGGCTCCTCCTGGTGGAAGGCTGCTCTCTCTCATTTTTCATGAAAAACTTCAGGTCTTGCATTCATCCCAATGCAGAATGGGGGAAAAAATTTAATCTTGAAAAGTTTCATGGGACAAGAAAACCTTTCCCTGTCCAGTTCTCCTGATGACCCAAATAGAGGTCCCAATGTTGCACATTATGGAATCTGTATTTTTCTAGTTTTCTTTTATTAAAAATCTGATTTAATTTACACAATGAGAAAACATCACAGAAACAAAATATTCTATACTTTGGTTATTTGTCATATTTTACCTACTTTTGTCACACATTGGCTGCTTTGAAGGTTAAGGGGCACAACCAAATCAGATACAAAGAAACACTCGAGTGGCAATAAGATTTAACAAGGTAACTGCTGGTGCACTCAGGGGGAAATTATGGAACTGGCAATGCCTTTTAAAATAGGCTTATTAAAAATAATTAGAATGCAAAGGTGTTTTAATTTTTAACCTTCAGCTGTAAGCTCAGCATTCCATAGCAAAACTACTTATATTATAGAATACCGGTCAATGGAACAAAGTGTGTGAAATATATTTGGAGCCATATGGTGTATCAAGTATGATTTAAAGGCCATTTAAAACCATTGATAACATTACCTAAATAACAATTCTCCAAAGGAAAGGGAAAAGAATACCCTGTAATCCTACACTAGCAAATGGCTCAACTATGCTCATTTGATGAGTCACCACTGTAAGTAAGAAGAGCCTCAGAGGAGAAAAATGGAGAAATCAATAAGCTTTACCCACATCATCTAATCTGATGCGCTGAAGAAATGGCTGTCATTAGAGAACACTAAATAAGCAACTAAAAAAGTAATTGTTCCATAACAGTTAAAAGTTCATATACTTTTATTTCCCTAATCACAAGGAAACTAAATACTTTAATGGAAGGCTGTAGACACAGAGAAAGCAAAAATATATTTCAACTACTCTCAGTGGGAGGTTTAGTGATCACCTGAACAGCGGGCACTGTAATCATCTAATCTAACCTTCTGCATAATACAGATGATATAACTTCCCTGAATTAATTCCTGTTTGACCTGTCCCCTCTTCCTACAATTTTACTTCCTGAATGATCTTGAAATAATTATGCAAGTGTCATCGCTTGGCATTTTCACTGCTGCACATACTTTTCAGCCTTCCTGCCATCTTATGATGTTATCGTCTCTGAATGCCAGAGAAAAGTGGAACAAGATTCCACAGAAGGGATTTCCCTTGCAGCAATAGCCATGCGGAAACTCTCAGAACTTCTTCCCCCAGTAATGGGGTTATTTTTAGCCCAGACAATAGAGCACAGGTGGTAGATTTTGTTTATGTTAAATATTTGATCCAAACCGATCACAGTGAATAAAATTGAACTGAAGGCAAAAACATCTACAATGAATGGAAACAAAAACAAAATTGCTTCATTTTTTTTTAGCACTTGTGTGTAATATTCAGAGGGAGTTGGTTGTGGTGTGCATGTATTTGTACAAAGCGAGCAGGATGAAAGGGTGAATCTGGATCACAAATCCAGCTGTGTGCTGTGTGTATGCAGTATAATCACGTGTTGCAATACACGAGTCTATTGTCTTATTTTGAAATAACATGCCAAATGGCTAAAAATCTGTTCTATTTGGGTGGCTGACTGCCATTTTCTTGCCACAACCAATGCACGCAGTTTAGTCAATATAACTTCTCATCGTTCATGGTGTTCTGAATATAAATATTGGGCCAAACACTGAGTCATGTGATCTCTGGGTGCTTCAATTCCCTGTCTGTCAAATGGGGATAATGTTGTTTCCTTTCTTACACTCTTTAGAGCAAGGACTGTCTCTTATTATGTCATGTGCTTGTACAGTACCCAGCATAAGGAATCCATCTGGAATCAGGGCCGCTAGCCCCAACTGTAAGACTAATAAATAATAATAATGATGAGAGCTGCTGAGCAACTGTAGCTTCCACCAAAATCAAGGGGAGCTGCAGATTCTCAAAATCTCTCTTGTTTTGATCTATTGTGTATTCTAATGGGTGATACAGTGTGTGACACTGGCAAACCAGGTGCCAAGTCTGTAGGCATCAGCTGAGCACTGACAAATTCATAGCCGGAAACCAGACCAGCTCACATATATGTTAATATTGTTCAAGATAGGTGTTGAACTTGTAAGAATGTGTTTAGTGTTTAGATTCTATAAAATGCTTGGCAGTTGCTGCATGTATTTATCTTACTTGTAATGTCTGTATCCCATGCTATAAGGTAATATGTAAGTTTTGCTTTATAACTATAAAAAATGCCTGCTCTGAACTTGTGAACCCAGGCAGGAAAAGTGGTTCTCCCACCCATCCAGAAGAACTATCAAGACTAAATGGGCCATTGTAGAATATCACAATACAATGGCTGGGTTAATGGCCCTCTCACATGCTATGTGCAAGGAAGCTCATTCCATCATCTTGAGTCCTGGAAGAGGAAAATAAAGATAGCTGCCATGAAGATTTTTCATCTCTTTGCTGTTCGAATGC